ATGAATTCCCAGTCGACATAAATCTTGGATATTCGAGGACCGGTGCAATGCAGCAGTTCTTGAGAAACGAGGCAGTTATGATGCGAAAGCCGGAACTTAAGGCAGAATACCATCGGGTACTCCGAGAATATATAACTCTCGGCCATATGAAACTAGTGGACAGCACATCTGAAAACAAAGATCCAGGATCCTATTACCTGCCGCATCATGCAGTGATAAAACCAGATAGCACTACGACAAAGCTCCGCGTAGTGTTTAATGCATCAAACCCTACATCCAATGGGGTAAGTTTAAATGATGTACTTCATCCTGGTCCAGTTCTTCAAGCGGACCTTATCGCGTTGATATTGAAATGGAGATTTTTCAAATATGTATTCAACGCTGATATAGAAAAGATGTATCGGCAAATCTTGCTGCATCCTAAGGACACTAGGTTTCATAGGATATTATTTAGGGAATCAGTGGAAGAGGAATTAATGGATTATGAGCTACAAACCGATAAGGACGCTTCTTCAGTTGGCAGAAGATATTAGCTTGAAGTACCCTCTAGCATCCAAGGTTTTAAAGCAACATATGTATGTTGATGACGTCCTTGCTGGTGCACACGACTGCGAAACCGCCATTCACACACGGAATGAATTGATCGAGGCTCTCAAAGAGGCAGGATTCCCCCTACGGAAGTGGACCTCAAACTCCAAAGAAATTTTAGCCGACGTACCAAAGGAGCATCTTCTCAAGGAAGATTTCTTGCAGATTGACGACTTAAGCGAGGCAAGGATGTTGGGTATTAGATGGAATGCCATTCAAGACAGGTTCCATTTCAACGTTCAGGAGATGTACATAAATCCAAGCTACACCAAGAGAGAGGTATTATGGTTATATGTGTAGCAAAACTGTTCGACCCTGCAGGTTGGCTGAGCCCAATCGTGATCGAGGCGAAAATCCTAATGCAAGATATTTGGCTAACGAAGATTGACTGGGATGACAACTTACCAAGGGGTATTTACTTGAGATGGGAAAATTTTCTGAAAAATTACGTCAATATTTCAAAAATCGGAATTCCAAGGTGGATTAGGTATACCCCATGGAATGAAGTTGAATTTCTTGGTTTTTGTGATGCCTCTGAGAAGGCCTATGCTGCTGCGCTGTATGTAAGAGTTCGTGAACGAAATTCAAATATCGTTCCAAATGTAAATCTGCTGGTAAGTAAGACCAAAGTAGCGCCAGTAAAAACAATATCTTTACCACGATTAGAGTTATGTGGGGCACTACTTTTAGCAGAATTAATCAGCTCTTTACTTCCACAGCTCGATGTTGCTCAACCAGTGGTCTACAAATGGACAGACTCCACCATTGTGCTCTCATGGCTGCAGAAGCCTCCATGCTGCTGGACACTTTCGTTGCGAATAGAGTCGCCAAGATTGAGAACTTGTCGGATCGAGTTCTCAATCCATTTCTGGACAAGAATGGAGTGATGAGAGTAGGTGGAAGACTAGCGCTAGCGTCATTGTCATATAATGAACGATATCCAACCATTTTGCCGTATAAATGCCAATTTTCGCGACTTCTCGTAAAGTTCTCACACTTGATTTCATTACATGGAGGAAATCAACTCATGCTGAGACTTATGAGGTCAGAATATTGGATAGTACGGTTAAAAAATTTAATAAAAACCGAAATTAATAAGTGCAAAGTTTGTATAATTTACAGAAAAAGAACAAGGGAACAACTCATGGCTGCGCTCCCGCCGGAATGGACGGTCGTATCCAGACCATTCACCAATACTGGCGTGGATTTTACGGGCCCGTTTGAGATTAAAAATTACACTGTCCGAGCATGTCTCATCACTAAAGGATACGTTTGCGTCTTTGTATGCTTTGGTACAAAGTCAATACACCTAGAGGCAACTAGCGATCTATCGACATCAACATTCTTGGGTGCTTTTGCCAGAGAAATTCAAAATGGTCCGAGCCAACAACAACAACCAAGTGAGAGAACACAGGTGCCCTGTGTGCAACCACAACCACCGCTTGGTCTTCTGTCGACAACTGCGCCGACTAGAACCGACGGAGAGACTGAGGGCAGTCCGCCTTCATCGGCATTGTGCCAACTGCCTGTCACCGCCTCACATGGCCAGCAGTTGTCCATGGACGAGACACTGCGATCGGTGTGAAGAGCGGCATCACAGTCTCCTACACCTGTGGGAAACCGACAGAGGCGAGGAAGACGTGCCACAGGCCTTAAGCGTGGTAGACAGTAGGCCTACCAGAAGACACGACCCGTACAGAGTGCTGGAAATTGATGCTCAGATCACCTCTGTCGGGTATCCGGTCAGTGGTCCAGCGGCCACCCCACCGAAAGAAGGAAGAAGTGCCTTGCCAAGAAGGCGCAAAAACAAGCCACAAAAGCGGCCTCAGGCAGTGAGAGACGCCCGAGAGCGGATCAAGGGACCCGCTCGAAACGATACGGGTATGTCTGTCCTCACGCCAACGGTGATGGTGAGAGAGGTAGCAAGCGACCGAGTGCATGCTGTTCGTGCCCTCATCGACCCAGGGCAACCAAAATCCACCGTAGCACGCACCCTGGCGAGACGAATGAACCTGCTGCGACGGGAGTCAACAGAGCAGATCAATCTGACACTGAAAGGTTGGCGTGGTAGGATCAGTCTACAAGCTAGAGTAGTGGCTAGCCTAATAAAGACCACGCCTGCACGCACACTGGACTCAAGAGTCGTCGACGAGTTCGACAATTTGCGGTTGGCAGACCCAACATTTTACAAGTCAAGCGCGGTTTCGCTGATTTTGGGTGCTGACGTATATGGCATGATTCTCCGGCCAGGGCTTATGCCAGCAACCCCAACACGACCAGCTGCCCAGAACACATTTTTTGGATGGGTGATCTCCGGTTGCTCACCCTATTAGACGGCGGCGAGGGAGTCGAGAAGAACCTTAGTTTAAGAAATGAAATTGAGAGAAAAAAAAATAAATAAATAAATACATAAGAATGAATTGTTAATTATTATATTGTATACGAGATATTTGAATTACGTTTTAAATTTAACTATTAAAAATTGTGAAATCTATTAATTGGAATTTGTAATGTAGTCATTTTTTGCAGTGTTGCTGCAAGGCGGGCGGCATGTTTACGCGTGCAACCCTGAGCAACAGCCACAGCCTCTACCTGGAGATGTCGCTGCTGTCTTCTGTCTTCTGTTCTCGACTAAGTGACTCTTCAAATATATGGGAAAAGTCCAGTTAGTCCAGTTAGTCCCGTTTAGGATTTCCACCTTTTGTGGAAACCTTTAAAAGGCCAATGTTGCCGGCCTGAAGCCCTTCTTTCGATCCAGCAGCCACAGCAGCAACATCTCAGGTGAGAGTATTTGTATATGTTATACATTTTTTTTATAAAACCTTTTAATATTTTCTTTAATAAACGCTAATGTTTTGTTATACTAATCCTACCAATGTTTTATTGAGAGCTTGGCGACAGGCATTTAGATAGGTTTTCAGCTTCCTGAAGAACCGGCACCTCCCCCGATCCCCGTTGCCGGAAATCAAGAGGAATTCCGGCCCTTTAATTAGTACCGATACGAAACACAATTTACAACCCATATAATCAATACCGATACAAAAACTATTCTTGTCAAGTACAGCTACTGATCGCTCACGTGTATCTTCTAGTTTATTTTGTTTGAACAGTTTCAACAACGAGTATTCGTTCTCTATCCGAAATATGCTTTAGTTTTTGGCCTCTTCGTAATTCACATTCGTCAACGATGACTAGCTACGAAACTTACTCAAAATCACTCGAATTACAGCTGAGAGCGTTCAGAAGTGTTATAAAGGAGTTTCAAAACACTTCAAAAAATTTTAATTTTTAAAGGAAATAGATTCACCTGTAATTCGGCATTTCCACGACAGCCCAGTTAGATGCTTCACTGTCTCAATTGTAATTCGCCATTCCAAAACATGGCGATCGAAATTTGATCGAAACCAGCTGATTAAGCAGAACATAAGAGCGGAGAATCCCAGGAATATTTGTATGTTAGAGAAGAAAAAAATTAGAAATTATTAAAGAGACTGGCATAACATTACCAGATCAATTCAAGATTTTTTTAGCTTCTGCAAAAATCTTTTATTTTCCATACGTTTTCATATAGAATAAACAAGAGAAACCCAAAATTGTCGAGCTGCGTTCCGCGTGAATGTGGATAAAAGTTTTTCAATGTATTGCTTTTGAATTGTAAGTTGGTGGGAAACTAACTTAATAGGGCAATTCCACGACAGCCCATTTACGTCTTTCGCTTTCTAACGTAATTTGCAATTCGAATACATGGCCAATTACTTAAATCGAAATATTTTTGAGAGCGAATTTCAGTAAAAGTGGGTATATCATTCTCAATTTCCATATTAATTACTACCAAATCGTTGCCTTCTCGAATTCTTGACGAAGCTTCATCGTAATCAGCTGCCAAATCAAAACAAGTTAGATCAAAATCATAAAAGAAATTATTAAAACACATACAGTTATTTAAAATCAAACCTATATCTTTTAAAGAAAAATAATAGACAGACAGATATAAACCTATATCTCTTAAAGAAAAATAATAGACAGACAGATATAATATGTGTTGAATTTATAAGCATTTTGAAAATTTTTATTGTATGTGTTGGTGTATTGACTTTTTTGTCGTATTCCATACGATATACATTATCAATTCAATTCAATATATTATTTAGTTCTACTAAAATCAATGGGAGACATTCGCAATTGAGGCAACGAACAATGTAATTCCCGATGACCTAGAAAAGCCTTATTAATGTTGCTATTATTGTGATGTATTTGATTCGTTTCAATCCAGAGGTAAAAAGTGCTCATTATTAAACGGCAACACTGGTATATAATGGTTACTTTGTGTTGTTAGGCCGGGATTGGTCAGTATATAACCAATCAGCTTTTACCATCTGTTTTTCGTTTGTTTTCATCATAGTACTCCTAGCTTTTTCAATTGCTCCACTTGGATAGTCGTTAAAGAATTGAGATAGAATATAGATTGTTTTGCCGGTTAAATTTTGATGAATTTCACACTGCTCATTCATTTCATTAACACCGTTTAAGTATAAGAGCCTTAGTTCAATAAAGATGAATTTGTGGTTTAATAATTTAATATTTTTGTTATTTTTCTTCGGAATAGTAAATTCCGAAATCTTTTTGGAAGATAATTTTGAAGATGGTAAAATCAGTAATTGTTAAAATAAATCGTTAAATGCTGAATACAATATTTTTTTATTTATTAGATACCTGGAAAGACTTTTGGATATACAGTAAACATCCGGGCAAAGAATTTGGTAAATTTGTCAGAAGTTCTGGAAACTTTTATAATGACAAAGAGCAGGACAAAGGTAAGGAGAAATTGGATTTCCATGCATTAAGCATACATATATATGTGAAAATTTTGGGCTAACCTATTTTTTCATGTCGGTTCAGATCTTATTTTCTCGTACCAAGAAAGTTGACTACTTTTCTAATTTTTTCCAATTGAATAATTGTAAGGTGGCAGTGCATATATATGTTCGGATTTTTTATTTTGTAGACATTTCAATTATTAAATATATGTTGTATTTTCTTGACAATGTGTAGTGGTTATAACAAAGATAACCTACAAAATTCTTTATCTTGAGTGCGCTATTAACGTTCCATTTTTTTTTGTTCGAATTATTTATTTATTGTTAATTTTTTAAGAGGAATTATACGAATTTCATTTAAACCATCTCTCGAAGAGTTTCTTTAGGCTTGAATTAAATTCAAATTATGCATTGTGAAATAGGTAATGATAAAAAAGTTCTAGCACTATTCAGTTAAAGAATTTCGTTTTTTAGCAAAAAAAAGTAGCAAATTCTTCAAGAAATCTCAAATTTATGAATTTCAGGATTTCCTTCAGTACATCTGGTTTTGTTGGAAATCTGGTATATGTTGTTCAGTTCAATTTGGAAGATAGCTTAGTGGCTCTTAATTATTCCTCTTATGTTCGAAAAAACTGCAAGGTCTCTGCTTCAAATCAAGTGAAAACTACTACGGACAGGGCAGAGGTTGCTTATTAAAGCTACAATAAAGAAATGAAAAAGGATTGTGCCCTTGAAGTTGAACATTATCTAATCGAATCAACTAAAAATCCGATAAAAAGGCCTTTCTACTAAATTATCCTATATTCGCCCCTTGGCACATTTAAGTATGGTATGTAATTTGGCTATTCAATGATTTTTAAGCTGTTGGCATACAAATGCGAAATGCTATCATTTGTTGCTTAACCAGAAGTCAGTTCTTATTTTCTTTCAAAGTTCTCCCCTACTAGCTTCAACACTCCGCTGTCCAAGTACTGAATGTTTTACCGTTTTTAATTATTTAATATCCTTCGAGATTTATTTAACATTATTTCGTTCTTTTACACAATTGGTGCAAGAATGTCAGAAAATGTATATTAAAGACTTACTAATTCTATTGTAAATGCACGGATTTGCAATCTCATCTTTGAGTTTTGTACTTCACTGTTGTCGCTAGCTAAACTAGCTAACAAACTTAACTTTTGATTAACGCAAGCCCTAAGCAACAGATAGAATAAATTGTTTTGCCGGTTAAATTTTGATGAATTTCAGACTAATATGTATATACTCCTCTTTAGAATATGCGTGTAAAGGCAAAATAACCTTGCTTTTCAAAATAGAGCATTATTTATGGTACGTTTTTAACCTGTTCTTAAATTTAATTAAATCAAATTCTGTATATGTCTTATTATGAAGAATTGGAAGGAATTTAATCACTTTCCGGTTTAATGTTTTCTCTAAAAATATATTTCTTAGTGATTTTATCCGTACCCAGAACTGTTTGATCTTGAAGCTATGGTGGTTTTCTCGTGCATTTTCGTCATTCTTGTAGTACAGCCGAACACAGATAGCTTTGATGCCGTAGGAAATACCCCCTGCGGGTTAGGGGCTCAAGAATTTACCCGCGGTAAGGCATGCCTGTCGCAAGAGGCGACTAAAATCCAATAGTTCCCGCGACAGTCGGGTCTTTATACCGGAACGACTCGGTTTTTATCCGGCCAAGGACTGTCACTCCCGCAACATTCCACAAAAAGTACTTTGGGGAATAATTTGCGGTTGCAACAACAACAACATGCCAAAGGAAATCAGATTTGACAAAAATTTTCCCTACATATTTTACATTTAAACAAACATTCTTTAGATTCAATCTTTTTCCAATATTTTTACATAGATCAGGTATATTGTTTATATAGCATACAAATAAATATTATAATAATAATGCAGCAATATATTCATATAATATAATAAAAATATTATAAGCAAAACCGCAGCTCCACGAACAACTCCGTCATAATCGCGGCTCCTTTGAAGTGTAAATACGTATAAGTAAAATAAAAAAATAATGCTCGAATCGTAATGTTGTTAATGTCTAAATGCAGTTGTAGCTCGCAAGGTTTTGTCGAATATTTTTAAATCTGATACTGCGGCAAGATGAGAAGCGTCCATTCCAGTCAAACTGCTCCATTAGCTGATCTTTCCGTACGATATGAAGTGCCCTTAAATAAACAAATGTAAAAATCAATGAAAAATGAAGTACTTAGTTGATACAAAAAATATTATTACCGTAGCTTGTACAGGATCCTCATGACAAATTTTTCACTTCTATCAACTGCGGAGAAAACGATAAAAATTGCGTTCTATTCGAAAATAACATAATATAAAACGGATAATCTGTTAAACTGCATTCTTCTTCAATGTGTATGTACGCAGAAGAGAAATATAAACAAAAAAATGTGCAAATGTGTTAGTGCTGCCCGCAATCATGTAACGCTGTAACTACCCATCGTACATATCCTCCCTCCGTCCATGTAAACACAAAGTTGTCACCGCTTGCCCATGCCGTTACTGACGGCTGCCCCGCAGAAACCAACAGCGATTTGATTTTTTCCGTAAAACCGGCTCAGCTTATTTCTAGTTGCTATACAAGGTTGCCAGTATAGGCTTTTTTAAAGTAATATTACTTAGCGTTAAACGAGTATCTCCGTATACCCTTTACTTGTTAAATTTACTAGATTTGATGGAATATATAGGCCGATACAACGTCCAAAATAAAGTCAGTTTGCTGAATTGTTATCCCAAAAAAATCACAACAACGGGAATTTATAATATATTTTATACTATTATAAAAACACCTTTTTTCCTATTATACAAGGGGGGAAAATAAATTGAACTATACTTTAATATTTAAATCGTAATTTAAATATATTTGCTAACCTTTTACATAAATATCTTTTTTAGGCTTACAGACATCCCAAGATGCCCGATTTTATGCAGCGTCCAGAAAGTTTGAACCATTTAGCAATGCAAATAAAGATTTGGTGATTCAATTTTCTGTCAAGCACGAACAAAATATTGATTGTGGTGGTGGTTACGTGAAACTTTTTGACTGTTCTTTAGACCAAACTGATATGCACGGTGAATCGCCTTATGAAATAATGTTCGGTCCTGATATTTGTGGCCCAGGCACAAAGAAAGTACATGTTATTTTCAATCATAAAGGAAAAAATATCTTAATTAACAAGGATATACGATGCAAAGATGATGTATATACCCATTTCTATACACTGATAGTTAAGCCAGACAACACATATGAGGTGTTGATTGATAATGAAAAAATAGAATCCGGTAACTTAGAAACTGATTGGGAATTTTTACCGCCGAAGAAGATTAAGGATCCAAACGCTAAAAAGCCAGAAGACTGGGATGACAGAGTAAGATAATTATAACACTGCAAGCTCTTATAAAAAATTTACATAAACATTTTATTTTAGCCAACGATTCCAGATCCTGATGATCAGAAACCCGCAGATTGGGATAAACCTGAATATATCCCTGATCCAGATGCTTCTAAGCCTGAAGATTGGGATGATGAAATGGACGGTGAATGGGAACCACCTATGGTGGATAATCCTGATTATAAGGGAGAGTGGCAACCAAAGCGGTTAGATAACCCGGACTATAAAGGAGAGTGGGAGCATCCAGAAATCGATAATCCTGAATATGTACCAGATGATAATTTGTATTTGAGAAAAGAACTATGCATAATTGGTTTTGATTTATGGCAAGTTAAGTCTGGCACTATATTCGATAATGTTCTAATAACTGATGATATTGAGGAAGCATCAAAAAGAGCGTCAGCGGTTAAAAATATTCAAGCTGGCGAAAAGAAAATGAAAGAAGCTCAAGATGAAGAGCAACGGAAAAGAGATGAAGAAGAAGCTAAGAAAAATGCAGACAAAGATGATGATGTTGATAAAGATGAAGACGAAGTAGAAGAGCCATCGAATGATCATGATGAACTTTAAATTCTTCGGCTATGTTAACGATTTTTTTCATAAGTTTGCTTAAGACTTAATATTTATTTTTTCTAATCTGGAGACTTTACGAGCATTGTTTTTGAAAGCAAAAAACTTGAACTCTTAAAATAGACAGCATATATTGTTGTATAAAAACTTTGTACAGACGTACCAGTAAAGCTTTTATTAATTTTTTTTTAATATCTTCAGGCTCTTATACTATTTTTCGTCGATAGTTTCCAAATGCGGTACTCGGTACTTTCAATAAAAGCCGAGACTAAATATTACTAAGGAATTTGATTCTAATTTAAAATGCTCTACATAGTCAGTGTAGAGCAAAGGAAATGTTTTTCGTTTTATCATACGAGGAAAAACTACCAAGTTCAAGAAAAGATAAGAAGAGGAAAACGAAATGAAAATAAAAAAGTGAAGTAAAGATTTGAAGTTTAATTTTTATCTTCGAAATGAGGTTTCAACCCGCTAATGATAACTGCCAGTAGTCTTCTTCTGACGGCTTTTATGAGGCAAAAATGCGGTACATTTGACAATGAGTTTACTTTCTTTACCCGCTAAGGGACAGATTTAAAATCGATCAAATCACCGAGGTCATCTAGTGGGAGGTCCAGGAAACGAGCAGTTCCGACGGGGTTGGACCAAAGGGGGAGGGGGGCTAGATGAGTTGGTTGGAGGGGGCATGTGAAGCGGTGGTTAGTGTCGTGCGGAGACTCCACCTCCAGAGCATACGTTGCGTATGCTGGGGTCTAGTCGGGATAAGTAAGAGTTTAACCTGCTACAATATCCAGACCTGAGTTGTGCCAAGGTCACGCGGGTTTTTCGAGGCTGCTCGAGCTCTTTGTATGCTATAGGTGGTGGTTTTTCTCCGAGCACGCCATTCACTGGAAGGGAGTCCTTGAAGGTGTTGACTGACTCCTGGTGAATGGCGTTCAGTGCTTGTCCGTACGCTGTCCTGTCCAGCGGTTGTTGCACATATTGCTGTATTGTGCCCTTTAATTCTAGTACTCCCTTTCTGATGTGCCTAGGTGGAGGTTCAGCATGTATTAGGTGCCTAGTGAGGTGCTCCCTAGGGTAGCATCCCAGTAGGAACTGCTTGCACAGCAAAGAATTGTCCTCCTTAACTCGCTGCATAGATACCTGTGCAAGTGATGCTCCGGCGACATCAGGAGGTTTCCTGTCGCGGTCCAGAGGGCGGTGTTCTGGCAAGCCTGTAGCTTCTTCATCTGCGTTTAGTTCATCCCCGGCAACCTGATCGGTGCAGCATAGTTCACGACCGGCCGGCCAATTGCTTTATAAGAAGCCAGCAAAGTTTCTTTGTCTTTGCCCCAGTAGCTGCCGGCTAGCGCTTTGAGTATTTTGTTGCAGCTCTGGAGTTTTGCGGCAATTGCGGTCGTATGCGGAGTGAAGGAGTGTAAGCTGTCTAGTGTTACTCCCAATATCCTTTGGTTATTTACCGTCGGAATTTTTGTGTCTTCGACGTTCACATCTAGTTCAAGCCTGTACACCTTCGTCCAGCTGGTGGAGAGGGTAGCCGAGGATTTGGTCGGTTGTATTTTTAGCTGTCTTGCAGTGAAGAAGTGGGAGAGATCAGCGAGGTAGCCGTTCACTTTCATTTGGGTGGTCAAAAACAAGTTGAGGACTTTGGTGAGATAGTCTGCTCTCACTGGTCCAAGATGTTTTAGCGTCAGAATTCTTACGATAACCCGTGAACCTCTTCCCTGGAGAAATCAAGCGCCGCGCTGGTACTTGGCAGTCTGCGCATACGACGGGTTACAAATCGCTTCGTTTTGTCTACCGAAGGGTACAGTGGAAAAAGTCGGATAAAATAGCTCGCGTATCTTTTCGGTCCGACAAGGGGTGATCACCGAATGATATTTCCACCCGGTCATCGTATCTCGTCGGGTTGGACAACGACTTGACGGTAGCCCAGAGCTTGAATGTTCTTCTTCTTCTTGATTGGCGTTGGCACTGCTTCCGCGATTATAGCCGAAACGATATTAGCGTGCTGTTCATCTCTTCTTTTCGCTGTTTGGTGCCAGTTGGAAATACCACGTGAAGCCAGATCACTCTCCACCGATCCTTCTAACGGAGTGAAAGTCTTCCCCACTGGAGAGCTCTCATCCATTCGGCCGACATGACCTAGTCAGGGTAGATAATGTTTCTTTATTCGCTGAGCTATGCCAATATCGCCGTATAGCTTGTACAGCTCATTGTTTCATCGTCAACGGTATTCAACGTTGCCAGTGCGCAAAAGTCCATAAATCGTTCGCAAAACCTTTCTCTGGAAGACTCGTAAAACCGACTCATCTGATATTGATATCGTCCAAGCGTTTGCGCCATATAGAAGAACCGATATGATGAGCGACTTGTAGAGTTTGGTTTTCGTTCGCCGGGAGAGGACTGTACTTTTCAATTGCCCACTTAGTCCAAAGTACTACCAGTTGGGAAGAGTGATTCTACTTTGGATTTCAAGGCGCACGTTATTATTGGTGTTAAGGCTGGTCCCTAGATAGACGAAATTTCTACGATCTCGAAGTTATGACTGTCAACAGTGAGATGGGAGCCAAGTCGCGAATGCGAAGACTATTTGCTTGCGGACAGGAGATATTTCGTTTTGTCCTCACTCACTACCAAACCAACTCGCTTCGCTTCTTTATTAAGTCTGGAGAAAGCAGAACTCACTATTGTAGAAGAATGTACCTTCTCTATTCAGCTCGTATTATTCGTCGAACCTTCCTTGTGTTTGTTGTCGGGCGATTTCCCATACACAGAGGCGCGTGCGTATCTTCGCTGCGACAATATAGAGATCCGAGTGGATTTTTAGACTACGGAACGAACGCACATTTAAAACACTGGATATGTGTCTTCAATCTACCACAACACCACCGATCTGGTTGAAAGTTTGTCGATATGGAGACGGCTAAGTAGCTTAGTAAATTTTCATGTTCAGGAATTTAGTGCCTCAGACAACCATATTTCGATTCTCGGCGAAGTCGATCAGCCTCAGACCATCTAGATATTTCGTCGTGGAAGCTGAATTTTCGAACTGTTGTTCCAAAAATACCTTCTTTGCCTACCTTAGCGTTGAAGTGGCCACGCACAATTTTGACGTCGTGGCGCGGGCACAAATCAGCGTGGTGTTAAAAAAATTGATGTGGATTAGGGCGAGACGTTCGTCCACCGGAATGAATTCCAGTACTCGGACGGAGTCTCTCTCCCATCACAAATCCGACAACAAATTCACGCTCCTTTATATGAATTCACTACAGTGGACTTCACAAGGATCCACCTTTTTCCGTCCTTTTCCAATCCATCGCATTTTTTGGACGGCGGTGATGTCAACGTTTATCTCTATGAGGACATCATCCAGCTGGGCAGCGGCTGCTTCCTAATTAAGGGACCGCACATTCCAGGTGCATGCCCTAAAATCGTAATCTTCAAAACATGACTCTCCACGTGACCTCTCGTTAGATGACCACGGTGACTTAGATTGATTTGAAACCTGTCCCTGAGGGGAGTTAACGAAGACGCTACAACAACTCTAAAGGGAGCAGTCTGTCTCGCGGTCCTCAATTCGTCTTTTGCCACCCTAATAATAACCAACATGTGGCAACAAAACTATCTAACTAGGGAAAATAATATTGGTAGATATATCTCCTTTCCCCAGCAGCGAAAACTCTTGACGCCTTGTTGCTCTGATGTTTCACACATCATCTCCGACTTTACATTTTACTTCTCCTACAACTTGGATCTCTAGTGAACAAGTCATATTGAATGATGGAGTGTGATGCGTCCATATCCACTAATAGTGACGCTTTTCGCTTTTATACCGGCGGGTTGTCTCGTTCTAGTTTGACCACTGAGTGAATGGTGATTCATTTTCCTCAGCCTTCCACTTCCGTGTGTAACTTATGTATACTGTGCAAAGCAGGTTTCGGCTCGACCCAAGGTTTTTTTAAATGCAACCAAAGTCCGCTAACTTACAAAGGTGTTTCACTTAAGAATACTGTGGAAGCGAAGCCGATGTTGGGCCGGCTCAGGGTTATTTTTTTTAGTATGGCCGAAGACCACAAATTTTCCAAGGTGTTGCACTTAAAATACATCGCATGGTGAATACGTGATTTATTCATTTCTTTGTAATATATTTACTTTTCTAAGGTGTGGCTACACAGGTTTTACTGATACTAACGAACATGCACATCTTTGTATTTCGTTTTAATTACTAAAGTAAACAATCGTGCGAACGCATTAGTCATGTGTAAAATCGATGGGAAATACCAATATTTTGATAAAATTAATTAAGTAAAATCGTTGCAAATATTTTTGGGCATTATTATAAGCGAGACTTAAAAGTTCCGTGAGCTTTTATTAGCTTTTATCGGTTGGTCGAAATTGAAGCTTTAACAATAAATTACCGAAAAACTTTACATATATGACCTCCTCTCACTCCTCCAAGGCGAAATTTTTTTCTAAGCCTAACACGCTATCATAAAGTTTCCCTAAAAAAAGTGCCGAATATTCTCTTCCAATCTTCTCTGGTTTATCTGTGTTGACAACGACTTCACATACCTCCACGAAAAATAGTTCAGCGATGTTAAACCGCACAAACCTTTAGGCCATTCTGTAGGCCCTTGACACCAAGAATAACGCTCACAAAAAGTTTCCTTCACTAGATTGTTTCGTGGCTGTATAGCATGTAGCGCCGTATATTTGTAACCAAGGGCTGTCGACACCAACATCATATCTTCCCAAACTTATCAAACAGAATTCTGCTCCAGTATCGATAATGAAATCCAACTTCGTTATAGAAGTTTCAACTGTTATATCGAATAACTGTTTAATACTTTTTGCAAAAATTTAGTAGAACATTTCCAATATCGGATTCTATTGTAGAGGTATGTCCCAATTGTGACTGCGCTTCTGGTGTTGTCTAGCGTCAGCTTATACAGCCGTATAAGTTTTGCGAGGATACCAAATTCAGACATAGCGGCGTAAAGGCAGCTTCTATTCGTTCTGTCGAAGGCGGCTTTAAAATTGACGAAGATTGGGCAGAGCACACTTAAGTTCCAATCGAATATTAGATCCGTTTGCAGCCAAAAGTTTAAGATCACAATGTCTTTTAAATTATTTTGAGTTTTGAAGATGGTATAACTGAAACGATTGCGTTTGTATTAGTCAAAAAATTTAATTTATAAAATTTATCGTAAATAAAAAGGCGACGTGTAAGCTTATTAATAATTTCATCATCATCATGATAATAGATCGTTTTAGTTTAAAGAATTTACATTTGAAATATTTATGTTTGATTTTAAATTGAAGGGTTGGAAACATTTGCAGGCATTATTCTTATATTTTTGATGGTACCAACAAATGTTATTTTGATTATTATTATTTTTGGGTCTTGATAAGTTTCTTGATCTT